CATCTTGCTCAATTAGCTGGCTTGTTTCTGCTGGTGACTTTGGGCGAATCTAAATACCTGAAAAAGAATGAAAAAATTAAAGTTAAATTCTTGGTCCATCTGTATCACTGTGACGCCAACTCATCGAATGAACTTTCTATGTTACAGGTGGCCAGCTTCAAGTCCGGGCACATCCCTTCGGACAAGAACCAGCATCACTTCCTATTTTACTAAGACTGTACCAGACAAATGAAATAAATAGCAGCATTACTGTAACTGACTCTCTGATGATTTGCCTCTTTCACTTCCTTCCAACACACGACTACGTATTTTAAGATCATGTAATGAGGCGTATCTATTGGAGGTAGGATAGAGACAGTAAAGTAAAGATATGACAAGAAACCCCCCCAATAGAAACAAATACCAAAATAAACCTTTACCTAACATGACTCGAACTTAATGTATTGATATTTTTTGTTAACATTACATAATACGAAAAGTCAAAACTTACCATATTCATTCCTGTGACCACGAGGAAAAGGGCCAATTTCTAATGTTGTGTGCTGTGACACCAACTCAGCATACATCAGGTGACACATAGGCTGCTTAGCTAATGTCGAGCACAGATGCAACTTGACAGTCTTCCTGCAACAGGGTAAAAACAGAATTTTGATCGACATGTATGATGGTGACACAAACTCCTCTGAGCCTGAGCTATTTAGGAAAAGTAAGTGAATTAGCACATCTTATAACACCTCAAAATCAGAACTAGAAGAAATTTCCAAGAAAATTAAAAGATTAGTTTAATGCTCAATGACTTGAACAAAAATGTTTAAATCTAAGCAAAATTGGAACCCTCTCCATATGAAATTGTACTCACCATATAAAACAATCCAAGCATGGTAGTCTGACCATGGAAGTTTGCCCTAGGTATAAAGAGATCATCCGTATCAATCTCTGAATTTAAAAAATACATCTACATCCAAATTCAGTTTGGCCTTTAAAATATGCAGTCCCATTCCTATCCTGTCTTATAGGACCACAGGGCTCTTGCTTTTCTTCTTTTGATGGGAATCACCTAAAAAGAATAGAAATACAGGTCTTTAGCCATACTTTGGAGAGTTTACGTTCAACTTAATCTTAAGAACCAAAAAGGAATGAGATATGAGATGGGATGAGAGGGAATGGATCAAAGTATGGTCATCTTCCTTACACTTATTTTACTCGGTTTACTCCACCTTCCATACCAACGAGTGGGTTTCTTGAAAGACAGTTTTAAGAAAGCCGTTGTAACTTGTTCAAAATTATACATTTATCATATTCTTCCGAATTTCACCAGAAAAAATATAAGGGGTGGTTGTGGATTGATACCGGGTCAATAAAAAAAAATATTTGGGCCAAAATCAAAGGGGGTCGGGAACATACTCCATTCTCACACTCAAATGCTCAAATTCTAGTGCAGCAGAGGTTAATTACGACATTGGAAGATAAAATAAGTCAGACGCTCCGAAACTGAGAACAGTAAGATCCCACCTGAATTTCCTCTTGAGTCTGAGGCTCGATCTTGATGGATTCCTGTTGCATTTCAAACGATGCGAAAATAACGAAAGACAAAACAGGACAAAACTGGCTCTCGTCGCGTATGTACTCGTGGAGTTGGTGAGGTTAAATAAACAAAAACAAACAACTCCGCCACTCCGCCCCCGCCCCGCCCTCCGCCCCCTCCTCTCCTCTCCTCTCCTCTCCTCTCCTCTCCTCGCGCAGAGTGCGCAGTGGATGCAGTCATCAGCCTAGGTGGCCTAGGTCCTTGGTTGTCACTTCGGGTTATGACAGCTGTTTCTGTTTATGTGTTTGTTTATAGCGAAGCGTAAGGTAAGTAATAGTCATTCCAAAAACTGCAGAATTTTTTTTTTAAAATTAATAACATACACTATGATGGCAGCCCAGTGACACTGTTTTATGTTAAAACTCTTTTGTTACCCAGGTACACGGTTATTCCCGTCGTGCCCCGTCGTGCATGACACCAGCTTCATTTTCATAATGACTGCCATCCCCCATTTGGATCGCAATGTAAAGGAGTATCTAGATAACGTTCCTCGGCTGAAAATGGATAAAAATAAATATGTTTTGGAGTTGGTCGAGGTAAGCCATGTGAATGGGGACCTATTCTACGACACCAATACACAATTACCACTTTTTAACACCTTACCCACCAGCTTCTTGATTTATATTTACTGAACGTAATGGAAGAAGAGGACCATCTGTACAAGATTCTGTGTGTACAGCCAGAACGTGTTTGTAATGATTACAACACATTGAAAACTGTGTCACCTTTTAATATTCAGCTGAATATCTTGATGTCCTTACCCTTCAATCATTCTGATATCCAGGTAAATTAAGTAAAAAAAATAATCAGTTAACTTGCTTGTCCTATTCAAATACTATTGGGTTGCGGCAATTGCCAATTTTTTGGCGTACTTTTACATTTTTCTCACAGGTTGAAGAAGGTGATGGGGGATTTATTAAACTGAAGTTGTCTTCAGCTTCAGATGACAAAATGCAGATTTGTAGCAAGATATCGGTAGCTGCTTTCAATCGTGGCATCCAAAACAGCCTTTTGAGGTGATACAGACACCAGCAATGACAAATATAAAAGTTGTATTGATTTATCAACTAATTATACATCTTGAAAATTTCAGACATGTAAATACACTGTGGAGAGATAAGGACAATTATTTTCAAAGCATGGGATTCTTAAAATGGTTCTCAAGTGTTGTTGATAAAAGTCTAGCACTTGCTGGTCCAATCCCTAACTATAAGGTGAGATGGCAATTAAAAAAGATAACAGGTTCTAGAAGCTTTCAACTACTAGAGATATTTTTTTTTTAAATTTTTGTTCCGTTTCATAGATAGTGAGGCTGCAAAATAACTCTAGAGTTACACTCAGGATTCAAGACGAGGGTCAATGTACAGAAATATTTGTTCATCTACTTCCTGTGTTTTCATTACCAATTAACAAGCTACCAGAATCACTTTATAGCAAGCTCCCCCAAGATTCTTCCTGCAATGTAAGTACTAGATCATTCTGAAAGTTGCTGTAAACCCTGCTAGCTAGCAAGCAATTAAACTACCCAAAATCGTTCAGTTTATGTTACATATGTAATTTTGGTAAGAATTTATTTGGTAAGATTTTATCAAATTTTCAGTTTCCTGGCTAATTTTAATTTCTCTCATCTTTAGGAGTGGATGGCAGAATGTTGTTCGAATGAAGTCTCAGATCCTCAGCTCTGGGCCACATCCTTTTGGCAACATGAGAAAAAAGTAATTAAAGAACACAACTTGAAACCTTTCATACAAATTCTGAAGGTAACTATCATATTATCGAAATGGACTTAATTTAGATTTGCATTAATTGTTATTTCCTATTTTGTCAGGGTGTACGTGATATTCATTGCGAGAAAACTAAGAATGAATGGAACCTATTGACTAACAATCACATTCGGAACCTGGTAATGATTTCCCATAAGCAGAATCTAATAAACTTTCAAAATGTGAGCGAAGGAAAGATCCTGTTGGATGTAGGTATCTCCATGAAAGTGTTTTTTTTTTTGTTGTTTTTTAAACTTTTCCTGTAACCATTTTTTAGTATTCATGCAGTGATTTCTTTTATCAGCTGCTACTTATACTTCGCAATCATTTAGTGAGTAGTGAAGGTCTGCCTTCCTTCTGGGATGGGACACGCAATCTTCTCTGTGGAATGACTGGTTTTCAAAAAAGTTCTTTAGCCCGTTTGGTGACAAGAAGTATGAAGGATCTTCAAAATCCAAACTCTCCAAAGTTTTTCGGGTATGTTTTTGCAAGGGTGTGTAGTAGCACTAAACGAAATGATCTGTACTTAGATTTGTGTGTAAGAAGTTTTTACTTGTTAAAATGTCATTTTGCGATTTTTCAGGTTGGAAACTTATGCACATGCACCTGTACCTGCGTTAAATACTTGGGTGGAGAGACCACCACAGCTACCATCAGACTCAGCATCAAGAAGAAATGAACAAATTTCATCAAATCCCCAAACATGTTCTTTAGCCTCCCTCAATGTTGAGCTCAGAAATGAAAGAAGTCCGTCGGCAAAAACAGAACTAGTACAGAAGAATGGCAACAATAATGGGATGTGGTGGATTGTTGCAGGGGTTGCTACTGTAGCTATTGCAGCACTCGCTGGATCAGCAATACTTCCAAAAAGAAAGAAAAATGATGATTAAGGTTCACCACCTTCCAAATTAATAAAGGCAGACCAGACCACTGTTATATGGTAATTTAGGCAGTCACAACCATTAATTTTCAAGTTAGAACCATAATCCAAGTGGTCTTAGTTTAATATTTGTTTGTTGGTAGTGACTTATTATAGCTTAATTAAGTTTTATCTAAGCCAATTATGTATAGCATATTTTTTATTTGTTGTCATGAACAGATCACAGTTTCTGTCTTATGTGTATCTCTTATTATAAATGAAGTAATTGCCAACATTACATGTAAGGATACAAATAAATGAAACCTAAATCGTAATAACAAAGATAGATACACTTTCTTACATACGCACATTCAAGCAGATGTGTTTGTTTTAATTTTTTGGAAAATTGATCTTGTAAGTTGCGATTATCTTAGCTACACCACAAATGACATAAGTTACTTTTCAGGACAAGAGTTGATCATCCAATATATTACTTTAGAAAATTGTGATCAATTGTGTCCAAAGGACAGAAATGGAAAACATTAACAACTGATCATGTTAAATATTATCACTGCCAGTAATATGAGAAATAGAGGCACCATCATAGAAGGTCCTAACATGATGCAGAAACATCACTTACATTTGAGTAATGAGAAACGTACAAAACCGAAGAGAAGACAATGTTGATATGGGATAAAAAGATGCAGAATTTTTGCAATGTGCGATGATACATTAACATATAGGCTGTAGTCCTGGAGGTTAAGTCCTTCAGTGTCTTCATTGGTTCTGAGATAGATGAGACAACAGTCAGAGACAAGACACACTTGAAGAAATCAAACAGAAGGGCATTTGAGTTAATAAATCTTCTTTACCTAAGGTCTAACTGTACAAGAGAATGGACCGCTATGCTATACTGCAAAACAATACAGAATCAATATTGTGAAGGCTTTCAACACAAATAAGTTTACGCATAGAAAAGAGGTCTTGCAAGTTTATCTTAGCCACTTCTGGGATATCTACTGAAATACCCACCTGTGGGTTAAGGTGATTTTGTAAGGATGTAAAACTTCATTGGCCATTCCTAACTGCATCCGTATGTTGTCAACTGTCAAAGAACACCAAATAATTGTTAGACATATTTAAAGTAAAAAGAAACTTCTTTGAAAATATTTTCCTCAACTTGCTAATCAACCTGCTTCTGTCTGCATTGTCTCAGATAAACTACTGTTTCGTTTCAGCGCCATAATTCAAGTACAGTCTTAATCGGTACTTACTTCCCCACTGGTTTAAACTACTCTCCAACCCGTCAAAGCAAGAGTACTGGAGAAGCATGTATGCATTTCAGACTGAAGTTTTCCACACTCCACAAATAAAGATAAATGCTAATGTGAATAATAGTGGATGTGAGAATAAAATACCAAGAAATACATCTCACATCATGCAATCATGCTGTAACCCATCCCATAGCAAGAGTCGTCAAGGACACTTGCACTTGATGCGAACTATAATTTATTAATAATGATATGAGCTTATGTTTAACAGTAAAACCCCCAAAAAGGAATTAGCTTTGAAAAGACAAGACAAATCTTGGCAGTTTGACAAGTTCAGTAGCAAACCGAGATTTCTGTCAAATCTTCCACATCAATTTTAGTGACTTCTGACTTCTTCTTGATACAAAAGCCATAAGCATTCTGGTTTATTCATTCCAAATGAACTAGTTCAGTGAGGAAGGACACAAGGCATAGTGAGGAACACAGTTTCTTACTCCAGTATTCTCTGTATTTCTTGGAATAAAACATCATACCTGGTGTTGAGATAACTGACATCTCCAGTCCAAATAAATATGCATCACATAAGAACTATCTATACGGTTAAAATGGTGTTTAAAGGGACAATGACAAGGAAAAAAAATATCTAACATTTACAACAGAAAAATGGCAACCTACTCCTGGCCATGGACTAAAAAAAAAAAAAAATCAAGAGAAATTCAAGGCTGCTGATAACTCAATGGTCCACAGTCAAAAATTTATGGATGGATTAATAATTCATTCCTTCAAAAACTCTTTTCAAATATGTTTAAAAAAAAAAAAAAAAGATGCAACAGTTATAGGTAACGAGGCTAAAAAAAGTAACTATTAAACCTTCCTTATCAGTAAAATACTTTTAAACACTAAATCATTAGCTGCTGACCATAAAATTAGTACTGTACACCATTCCAGCCTTTATCCTAAATCCATATGCGCCACGCAGTAACAAGTCAACAAAATTTGATTGTATTCACACACTTCATCACATACGGTTCACCAAAACAAAATCTCAAAGACCGCCCATATCATCCTAATGCATAAGAAAAGAATATTTTATCTACTTTATTAATTAAATCAGTGAACATTGATGAGAAATAATGGGCAGAATTTGATAGTCTAATACATAAAATCAAAAATGACAATTTATATAACTAGCAGAGAATCTAATTTTTAAAAAATGGAAAAAAATAATTGAAGAAGTTGGTTTGCAATTATTTTGGTGCCCTTCCTCAGATTACCAGCTCATTTAGTTTGAACGAAACAGTAAAATCTTCTCAGAAAGATCGTTAGATGACAGAATCTGGCCACTTATTGCAAAAGCCAACAGCCAAAAAGAGTAGCACTACTAAAAATGCAATTGAGACATTGTTATATAAAATCAATTTGTAGGCAAGACATACACAAGAGCACTAAAGGCAATTCCAATAAGCATACTGAATAGTAACTACCTTTCAGTAGTTTGCAGATTCAAAAGAGACTTGAGAGGAAAGACAAGTTCACAACAGAATGTTCTACCAGTTGAATAGTGTAGGTGTTAAAGTTGGCGTGGAAACAATTGCAATGATTCTTAATGCCACAAAATGAAAATATGCTCTAGCAAGTTCTGGTGAATTCTTAGAACATGGAACTCCCAATATTAAGTTGCATTCAATGCATGCAAAAAAAAAAAAAAAAAGGAAAAAGAAAGAAAAATGGTTTGGTAAAAGTACAACTTTAGTAACAAAAGCAATAAGAAGAGAAGTCCTCAGAGACAAACTTCGTACAGAAACTACCAGCAGGAAGTAAACCCAATTACTTTTCTTACTATAATATGGTGCAATCAAAGAGAAAACATGACATAATTGTCTCAATCAGCATGATTCCTAGAGTGAGGGCACCTCCAGCAAATTACTAACCCAAAACATGGAGAAGTACAAAATTGATTGACTTCAGAAAATGAAAGTACAAATGCAGATGTATGATGGTTACTTGATCTGCAAATCAGACCTTTACAACACTGCCATGAATATCAAGAAGTTGAGACCCAACATCCAAGATGGGCTAGGCTAAGCTAGGAGGCTCAAGTTTAAAATAATATCTATGGATACTTCATGAGAAAAAATACTCGCGTAGTTGGATGCAATCCTCAATTGGGAACTTTCCCTATGTTGATAGAACACTTGACCTTCATTTCACTGGAAAAATGTTTGGCTCTAATATGTATTTCAAGAAATAAATAATATTCCCTTGGTGGGATCACAATCTGCCTTAGTGGGATGAAATGAAATGATTGAAAATGGGCTATACCAAAAAAAAAAAAAATATATAATAAAAAAATAAAAAATAAAATTAAGGAAATTATGAAAATATGATATACCACAGGCTAAACCCACATTAACCGCCAATGAAAGATGTGTTTGAGATGGAGAACTGTCGCCAAACTATAGTTCAAGCAACCAATGTACGCGCGCACGTACTAACACACACACAAAATTGCATTTAGCCCTTCACTCACTCACTTCTTCTTGTTTTTGTTGGTGGCTCCACGGGGAGGTGTGACAGGTCTTCCAGCATTCAACCCACCATAAGTGAATTTCCTTTTGTCAGCAGGCTGCAACAGAATTTTAATGAATTAGATCCAAAGAACTACATAGCTTAAATTGAGGCAAAATAGCCAGTCCAAACATACCTTCAGAATTTGAAATGAGCACATAAGAGTCTCATCAACCGACATCATTGCACCTGCATTATCAAACTCTCCGCAGTAGTTCGGGGCGGAGAATAATGTCACAAGCTGACGCTTGGCGAAGAATTCATAGCCATCTTCAACAACCTGAACAGAGAAATGGGTCATATTGCAATTTTCTATAAAAACAACAAACAAACAAAATCACACAAAAATAAAACAAAAACAACCCAAAACCATTACAGAGCAAATAAATGTACTGAGAAAAGGATATAAGACTAAACATACTTGATGCGCTCTGCAGATTAGATCAAAGTCGTGTTTGTGTAAAAACTTTGCTACTACTTCAGCCCCAAAAGTGAAAGAGACACCTCTGTCATTCTCTCCCCAGCCCATGGTATCCTGAAAACAAATTTAATTAGACAATGGTAATTTTGAAAAAATAAAAAATGAAAAACAACATTTATTAATTCAGCAAGAGGAAAAATAGTGACATACCTTGTCAGGATCTGACCAAAGAAGATCACAGAGAAGACCTTGATCAGGAACATCAGTGGGTCTCATAATCCGCCGAATCTGTTCCATGCTGTGCAAATCTGGGCTCAAACCACCATGACAACAGAAAATTTTCTCATCCACAATAGCAGCCACAGGCAAGCAGTTAAAGCAGTCTGTGAAAGTCTTCCACAGTTTAATGTTGTACCGTCGTTTGCCTAGAAACAAAGATAATGAGGGCTTGTCTTGAAATAATATCAAGGCACGTAATATTGGCCCAATACTTACATTCATCATAAAAACCATATATCCTGTTAATTGATGCACATTCATGGTTGCCTCGGAGTAGGAAGAAGTTCTCAGGATACTTTATCTTGTATGCAAGCAAGATACAGATTGTTTCCAATGACTGCTTGCCTCTATCCACATAGTCTCCAAGGAAGAGGTAATTTGATTCTGGTGGGAATCCTCCATATTCAAAGAGACGAAGAAGGTCATAGTATTGTCCATGTATGTCACCTGCAAGTAAAAAGGTATGGTGTAGTAATTGAGAGAAACACGTTACCACTTGCTAAATAAAATGTGAAAATACAAAAATTAAATTTTTGGTAACTTACCGCATATCTTCAGAGGAGCTTCTAGCTCCAAGAGGATTGGCTGGGAGAGGAATATTTCTCTTGATTTCAGGCACAAGTTTCTGATTTCAGCTTCTGTCAGCTGGACATTTTTGCCTGGTCTACCACCTCGAACTGGAAACGCAAGGAAAATAATAATTTTATGATTGACTTGTAAACGAGAGCAAGATATAACTTTATTGAATAAGGAAGGATACGTGAAACAAAATAAGGTGATATTGAACCACTGCTCATGCAACAACACATCTAGATCAACTGAGACCTACTAAATTAAGTTGTTTTCATTGACAGGCATTGTATTAATGAAATAAAATGGATTGCTTAGTTCAACAAATAATCAATGAAAGCAAGTATTTGATTGCTTGAGGAAGTATTATTTAGGAAAATTCAGAATAAACAAGGAAATTTGAAAGTAGAGGTAACATTGAAGCAGGTGTAATTCCAGTCTACCTTGTATTGACGATTGTAAAGTGTAAGTAACAAGTATACAATCAGAGTATAGTCTGAGAAGAGACGAGAGGGGAATGTAGAAGGTGAAGGGGCATGATTTCAAGTTTTAAAGCGATTGAAGCCTCAAAATTATTTGAAAATTGATCAACCGCTTTACATGTTCAAGGCCATAGCCTAGGCCTACATTCTGTATTAAATCTCAAACATCGTAATGATCGGGGAAGTTTGCTTGTATACAATTTTATGCGGAGCTGAATTCAACAAATTTTAAATTTTCAATTGCGATACGGAACTAGAATTGGAGTTCAGGTATTAGTTTCAGAGAAGAGGAAGAGAAAGAGAATAGCGAGAATTTGGGTGAAGATTGGCATAGGCTCTTGAGAGGTCGTATATTTACCTTCGAGTAACCGAGCGATTATAGCGTCTATATTCCAATTATTCGTTTCGGCCATTGGAAATGAAAACCTGAAGTTTGTCTGCACACACTAAGAACGCCGACGATGGAAAAATACGGCGGATTAAATTAGATTAACGGACGAAATTTCAAGTTGAAGAAGGAAGAGGTGTTTGGGCTTCTGAAATGGCGGCCTCCGAGGTTCTGACGTCATCATCCCGCCCAGTCACAGCCCTCCTGAATCTTTTAACCTCGGACTAATCGAAAAGTCGATGTATCGACGAAAAGGAAAAGGGAGTTGACCAGACGGAAGACATCAAAATGCGCCAAAATGTTCCAAAATTTTTAAAAAGGCATTTTTTTTCTCGTTCTGAACTAACACTAGCTGACGAAATTTCTTACTTCGGTCGGAGGATCTTAAAACTAGTACGTAGTATGTTAAGATCACCTCGATGATAACTTATTAGATGCGCTATCCGCAACATGATCACTATGTGGCCACACTCACATGTTAAATCGTGAGGAAAAAATTCGTGCCACACGTGATCGTGCCGAAGGTTGCTCGAGCATTCATGCAGCTTCAGATTTTATGTATTACAATACTCTAGTTTTGATTGCAAAACAGCAACCAAGGCATTTGAATTTGAATGCTCTCCATGTGTTTGCACCCTAAATTTAGTGTGCATTTATGTGCACTACCCACCCCACCCATTACAATGGGGTCACTTTGTGTACATTATTTATGCACATTTTAAGGGGAGTATCACATTGAGGCTAACTTCAGCAACCTAGTGTGAGTAGATTATGTTTGAAATTGGAGTTGTTTAACGATGACTTATTGGAAATGCAAATTGATTCATTTTCACAATATTGTTTCAGAAGTTTTTATTCACTTATGTGTATGTACATTCTTGTACTTGCTTTGCTCAGTGGCCCTCACAAACCTTACAACATATTTTTAATCAAAGATAGGAACATTTTATGTACAGTAAAAATACTGAGGTCATGAGCATTCAACAAGGCAATTTATAATTTTTACAACAGTATATTACAAAGTGTCTTAAAAATTATTCACTATATTACATAAGCTTTCTTTTATCACAAATTAATACATTTGTTTCATTAAAAACAAGGGGATCTCTTTAAGCCATCATGTGTTCACACTTCTCAATCTATTAAATTTTCTTTTCCTGGGAAACAATAGAATAAGAATAGCAATGGCAATGATATTCTATAATCAGTTTGACACCATCTAAAATATAATGACTAAAGCCTGGTGTAGAGTACACTCCTAAGAAAGTGCAATAAATAAAATACATACAAATACATATTCACAAATAAATTAATAATAAGAAATAACATACCCATTCCTGATCCAAGAAAGAAAATTAAACTCATGTAGATGACATTTTAAGAGAGGTGTCTCCTCTATGTCATGAAGAAACAAATTCAGTCAAAATGTTTATGCCAATTTTACAGTTTGTTAAAAAAGATAGTGGATCTGAGTCTATGGATGTAAATGGCATAAGTGGTAACACCTGGGCCATCATTAGAAATCTCTACATTCTACTGTACAAGTACAAATTCATAATACATGGCTTCTAGAAGATTATTTCCTAAAGAAAGGAAAATCAAAAAACACAAAATTGTCAAAAAAAGAACATTAGTCTACTATCTTAAATGGTGATTTTTCAGGAACTGTTTTTTAAAAAGGGACAAATACAAAAACAAAGATATGTGAAAAACTGTGAGCATTCCTCTATGCCATTCCCTACAAATATCCCTTCCCTCCTTCCCAAATCTCTCTAGACTAGCGAAAATTGTTTCAATAAATTCATGCACCATTGAATTAAGACACAAAAACAAGTAATGAAACAAGATAATTATGTTAGGTATCACACTCATAAAAAAAAAGACTGAAAATGGCATGATTGTTTTTGCTTGGGGTATGCTTTGACAAACAAGTTCCCTCATCAAGCTGTTGTATCCAGTCAAATTCATTAGCCTCTGAGTAACAGCTAGCACAAAGATCACAGAGCTTATTTTTTCACAACAAAATTATTCAGTCAAAAGCCCTACTACGGGCTGGCTTCACAGGCCAGCCCTTTGCAAAACAATAAGGCTTAGGTAGAATACAAGTCCCCACCCAGTCTTAGTTTTAAAGCTTCCACAAAAGAATAATAGATATGCTTGTGAAGAGTGATAGAGCTGTTGAATGTAGTGATGGTGCTTTGCTCTGCACTGGTGGTTTTGAACGTGGGGGAGCTGCAACACGCAACCAACAACAATTTCATTATGCAACCATTTCCAAGTACAAGACAAAATTAATTAGACTGAAAGATGATCAGGACCATCTTACCTGTAATTGGTTTCCAAGGTTTTGTGTGTGTTTCCACAGGCCTTCTTGTGATAGGCCACTGGGTAGTGGTTCTTGGTCTGGGAGTTGTCGAAGTTTGAGGAACAGGGGCTGTTCCAATGCAAGCACCTGTACCACCAACAGATTAAAATAACAAAATTAATAAATTACAGCTGTCATGACTGACATTATTAATACTGATTCCGCCTAATTATTCAGAAAACTGTTGTGAGACTTAAACATTTTTGATGCTTACCTTTCCTTCTTAAAAGCATGCCATGTTGAAGTGGGTCCACATCTCTTTCACAGTGCTCGCCTGCCTCCTTAATGTATATTTCAGTTTGGGAGATGATTGAACCAACAAAGCATTCGTAGGTTCCAACATCTTTACGTTGAGTATAGGTATACACCAGATCACCCTCTTTCCACTGCCCCAAACAACGGTACTGTCTCTCTGCAAAACAAATAAAAGTAGAAGTTAATACACAATTTACAAATCAGAAAAAATAGAAAGCCAGCATAGTATTGCAGTTAACACTGGCAAGTCTGAAAATAAGGTTCCATTGAGCAAAAGCCAAAAATAGTAAAGTTACTCCAAACTAGCTGAAAGGCAGTGCAAAAATAAATGCTATGCAACACAATAAGTGAAAAAAAACAACAAAAGACAGGTGCAAACAACAAACATAGTGAGCGTCACAAGAAAAATCAATCATTAGAAATAACAGGATGGAAAAAACACAAAATCTTGGTCTACTATGCGTAAAAGTAAAACAGTTACACAAATGTGAGGGGTTGTGCTGAAATTATCTACAACACACACACACAAACACACACGGTGAAAATTCGAAATCAAAGAATGCATTGCCCTAGGTGGGGACACATAAAAAAAAATGACGTCGTGAAATTTTTCTTTAAATGCCCGTTTGCAGATGCATGCTTCTCCCTTGCACATGACACCACATTTGGGGTAAGAACG